CTGCTGTCATTCTAAATCTATTCAGATTTTTCTTCTTAGCCACTTTCGGGAAACTGAATTGACAAATAGAAAAACAGTACCTTTAAACAATCTCCTCACTTATCACAGACATTCCTCCTTTAAACTGGCCAGTATTTTTAACTTATCTCTTTAAGCTCCCCAAGTTGAAAATAAATGCAGAATTCAATGCAAGTGACATGCCACAACTTGAAAGCTATTGTCTAAAAATGACTGGCACATATTTGAAATTATATCTTCCCTAAACTCAAGAAACAAGGCAGACACAGGAGACTGTATAGATTAAATAACCCCTTAAAATGCTAAGAAAAAAACCAGGGTTGTACAATCCACATAATCCCCAGCACAGGAATCACATAGCATATCCTTAGTCAGTCTGTAGCAAGTCTAGCTGTACTATGCTCAACCGAGCCACACAGATTTGCTCCAAAGATCAAGCTCATTACATCTGTTGTTTCTTCTACCTGCAACTTATTCAGACAATGATTTAGCTCTCTGCCGAACAATCTTATAAGTACCATTTTACATAACTCGTGGCCTAAGTCCATTGAGCTTATGTCAGCATCACCACATTAATCACAGCCATGGGAATTGCTTTTTGCTTAGCCAAGCTGCAGCAGTAAGGGGCTGAGACACGCACTGGCACAGCCAGACCTACATCGCTGTGGCATCACGAGCGCCTTACCACCCTGGTAGCTTTCTGGAGTTATTACTGATAACTTGGTCTTTGGAGCTGCTTTGAATTTTCATAATCATCCTTCTTGCTTCACAAGACAGAGCTGCTGTTGCTTGTTTGCTTTCCTTTGCTGTTTCCCTCCTCCTGAGCCAGCAGCAGGGCCTGCAAGTGTGGAGATCCTCCTTTGGAGCTGTCACAGGATCAGAAAATGCCAAATGCTCAGCACAAAGACCACACCATCTGGCTGTATCACTCACCTCGAAGCACTGCCATTACCTTAATCTACAATTCCAAGCAGCTTCAGGGAACAGGAGCCAGATTGTCCCCTGCAGTGACTGCAGGAGAAAACAGCCAAAGGTGAGACACTGACCAAGGAGCAGGTAACGGCACTATGCCCTCCTGCGTGCACACAGGTGGATACCCTCTGCTCCTCCTCACCAAAAAATGAAACTCTCCTTCTGGAGGAGAAAATCAGGATCAAGCCCTTGGTTATCACATGAGCTAGAAGCGGCCATCATTAATTTGAGGGGAAGGACTTAATCCCACCGCATATTACAAGAACCTGCTTATCTGCAGGTTTGGAAGAGAGGCCCAGAACCCAAGGGCACAGCGAAGAGCCCGTCATCTTCCCTGCTGCCTGTTTTGAAAAAGCAGCATTTCAGAGCCTCCCTGTCTGATCCAAGTTCCTTTTCCTCTGTCAACACAACCAAAGTTCATCCAGAATCGCTATGATAACAGACTTGTATAAGCTATATGCTCTGACCTCTGCCTGCCATTAACTCCTGCCGAGATGGCTGACATTAGCCACCTTTAGTTTTGCCTCAGAATAATACATAGAAACTACAGCCTTGCAGCCGCAGTACAAATTCTGTACAGCACTTGAGCATCTCTAGTCCTTTTTTTGACCTTCTAGCACCTTTTGTAGTCTTTGAAAATCTGAACAGGTTTTTAAACAACAAAAGAAGTCCTTTTTGCATGAAGAAAATGAAAAGCAACTCCATTTTCTATGTAAAACAACAAAAAATAGTAACTGCCAGTGAGCAGAGAAACACATGGCCTTTGGAAGTGGCAGAAGAGCTCACCCACACTTTAATGGATGGGCGCAAATATGCTGCTCCAGTAAAAATAAGGAACAAATGCTGCTTGGGAGCATAAAGCCGAGTTGTTCTCTCAATTAATATTTTATGCTCACAGCTACTGTCTGATGGCCTACTCAAATGTGCAGGATGTTTTCAGCTGCCAAGGACAAAGAAGTCGCTATGAGTGCTTTCACAGTTACTGCAAATATGGCCAAACACACTGACCTCATACAGTGATTTTCTGGTATTTGATGTTCCCAGCCTTTGGCCAAACTAAGAACATTAAAAATGAGATTTGTCTCTTAAATGTTGTTGCCCCAAGTGAGCAGTGTGTGACTGTCTCAGAGGCTACCCACATCTTGGACAAAGGGTCACGTGAACACTTCTCTGTCAGCAGCAAATCCCACAACTGTTTTACCACCACCACAGACATCTTCAAAGAATCCCTCTGCAACCATTGCCATGGAGAATATCAGGCCTCAGCTGAGTACCACCTACCTAGGAAAGCCCCATGGATGCCTTGTCCAGTGTTCAATCCTGATGTAATGGCCAAGAGACCAGAGGACCATCTGGCTCAGTTTCCAGTTTACGTCACAAGACCATTGTATGCATGGGGGTGCAACCTCCAGCTCTGAGTCAAAATACACTGTGCCCCTCCCTCCCCAGCTAATAATGGACTTACAAAAGATGCCATCCCATGCTGCCCCTGTTATTGATTTTACAATGGACTATTCATCAAGCAATCTTTTTTTGTCTTTTTACTTTAAGTCCATGACTTATATGACTGCACTGCATGTTCTTTCAACACCACTCACCAGTTACCCCTTTAGCCACTTCAATTAGCCATTCTTTTGTGCCAGTTCCTCTCTCCTCCAGATTACCTAGGAATTTTTCATAGGCAAGCATACTGAATGCTTTAGAGAAATCAAGGCATGAAATCTGCTAGATGTAACTTTTATTCAGAGAACTGGTCAAATTAGTGAAGATACTGTGTTAGTCTAATATAGCATACCTTTAGTATGCCAAACTAAAGTTTACATGCATGCTGCTCACAACTGTCTGGGGCTGAGGCAAATAAAATGACAATCTTATTACGCAGTCTCTGAGAAATCTGTGATTTAGCTTTGAGTTCCTCAAGTCAAGTTATTCCAGTGGATGTGCAAACAAGTCCTAGATAGAGAACCAAATGCTGCTTTGTTCAGACAATGTAAATAACTTAGTAGTTTGAGCATAACCAGGCCACACTTGCAATAGTGATATTAAGATTTAACCTTCAGTCCAAGGTCTTTCACGAAAAAAGGGAAAATAATCTTCTTAAAGAAGTCTTTCATGTCAAATGACACACCAATGAGTACCTACAAACATTAACAGAGCTACTCAAAAAGGCAGACTCAGAGGTACCTGGATTAAATGCTGTCTTAAGCCTCACCAAGCTCCCAGATGCTTGGATTTGAGATGCTCCAAGATGGTCCCACAAATCTCATATTCCTGGCAGCAACTTCACAATTATCTTCCTCTGGTCTCAAAGCAGCTATAAAGTGAGAATGCAGCATTTGGCCAGCGCAGCACAACTGGAACCAGCACTCAGGAAAACTTCATAAAATTACTTAACCAACCTCAATATAACTATGCACTTCTGTCATACAAGGCAAATGTCAAGCCTGACAATGGTAGCCCCACTCCTCATGACGGTAATGGGCAACACTTGCTACTGTTTTGTTTATTCATTTCCAGTTCTTTCCTTTTCAACTAGGTTTATATCCATTACATCCCACATCCACAGCTGATACCCCACTGCTTGGGCTAAGAAACACTGACTTCTAATACAGCACAACTTTTAACCAGAAAGGAAGATGGAACAAATTCTGTTCCCTAATCTGTAAAGTTTAGCTGTCCTTGAGAAAAAACCCAGCCAACCAAAACCATGTAAAATTGGGAAAAAAAGTTAGCTCATAGCAGTTAAACAAGCTGCATCTCCTCAAAGTTTTCGAAGCATGGACATACAGGGAGAAACTTCTATGTGTGCTTTCTATGTGACTCACAATTTTATGCATAGGGTTTCCCTTCCTTACCACATATAATGGAAGTCTCTCACAGGGACTTTAAATGTTTGCATCAAAATATCATCTTCTATGTGATCACCTTTTATCATCTTCTGTATTATCCCTATCCATTTGTAAAGTTATCCTATTTCCATAATGATGCAATAGGAAGAGTGTTCTTAAGACATAAAAAGCAAGATACGCAATCTTGCAAGAAGTCCCTTTTATCCCTACCTGTTTAAGAGATTCTAATTCCATTGCTGCACTTCTGTCTTCTCCAATTAGCATTTAACAGAGCAGACATGCACAACTTTGCCTTTTTTATTTCTATTGCTCCATGTCAGGATGTCAGCAGACAGCACAGAGAAACTGTTCAAACATGGAGAAAAGCAAGAGTGTATACTGAAGACTACAAGTGAAGTAAGATAAACTTGAATTCTCCAACAGAGTATTAAGTGCAATTCCACAGGTGCACCACATTGCTCTCTCCACCTGCTTTATACCAGGGATCCATTTCTTACACACACACTCAGAACAAAAAAAATAACAAACAACTAACCAAACAAAAACCCACCAACCCACAACAACAATAAAAAACAAAGGAATAAAAATTATACTTAAAGAATTCAGAATCTAGCCTAGGGAAAAAAGAAAAAACAAAACCAAAACAAACCCCAAACCAAGAACACCCCACCAAATTCCACAAGTCTGCAAATGAAAGTCTTATAATAACAATCTTTATTCAAGACAGACTGAAAAGAAATACTCACTAAGACTTAATTTACTTACCCTGAAAATAGACTTCAAAAATATCTTAGTCAGTATTAACCATTTTAAAATGAGCTGATGAGCTCCAGCTTATTTTAAGTACATATAAATTCGAAGGCAACAGAGAATGTATTTACCATTTTTGTGTGTGTAGATGCACACACATATTATAGCTATATAAATCATGTATATATGTACATATTTGGTGCCACCTTGTGAACAGTCTCTCTGAATAAGGAGGCTTAGTTCACATGGACCCAATTCTGCCATCTTCATTCTCATTTAGTTCAACTGACTTTAATATAGATACTTTTTTGAACAAGTACTAAATGTGACAAAGGCTGGCTGAATCAGATGCTTAGTGAAGAAAATTTTATAAGGCTGAATATAATAGTAGTCTTCCACAATTTCCATACACTTTTGTGTCACAATTTATTGGCACAAACATTATGGAAAATATCACTAAATTCTTTCTGATAAAAATATTGCAGCTTTGCATCCAAGTTGTATAGCTGTCTTCAAAACTGAATAAACTGGTGCCTGTAAAACAAAGAATAAGAGGTTAAATGCATCTAATGAAGTGCTTTGTTTGAACCAGATTGTGATAAAGAATAGTAAGCGTTATCTAAAAAACCAAAAAAACCTAACCCCAAAACAAAGCAAAAATACAAACAAAAAATTCACACAAAACACCACCTGTATTTGTAGTCTAATCTGCCCTTGAGAAAACGAAATTAAAAATTATCAGCTTTTCAGAATATTTCCATTTCTCCATAAATGTAAATCAAGAGGGGAAAAAAGGAGAAAAGTCGCACATTTCACATACGATATTCAAGGGTACCTATAATTTATTTCAGTATTTCACACTTCCTAACATGGTTCTGCTCATCTACCAAGATGATGTCTCATTCTCAGCTGTAAGGATTGCACTGATCAGCCTTATCTTCAAAAATATTTAGTCTAACCTTAAACTAAAAAAAATAGAAATTGTGCAGAGGAAACCTCTCAGGAAAACACAATCACTTTAACACTTGACATGAGTTCCAACAGATTCAATTCTGTACTAGAAAAGTGAAAGTCATAATATTCAGTGTTTTCTTATATTTATCTTTGAGAAAGAATACCAAATACCTTATTTTCTATTTCTCAAATAAAGAACTACATCACAGTCAGTGGATAAGTCAGATAAGAATATCACACCTACATCCTCGCTAACAACGCCAATAAGTTAACATTGTACTTACTGCTTCTGCATTGTGCTCAAGCCCAATGTCATGGTGCTCCCGCTCATCATCCCGAAATTGCTTTATTATCTTCAAAAATAGCAGTTAATTAGCAAGTCTACTTTGCAGAGAAATCAAGGCAGTTAGTATACAAAACTATGTGCTGTTGACTATTGCATGTACGAGGACAGGTATCTGAGGCCCAGGTCTCTCAAAAGCTTCTCAAAGACCTGAATCTCCAATTCAGAAAGAAGGGAATTATTTACAGCATTCCTTGAACATACAGTTCTTTTTTAAAAGTATTTTTGAGAACATTAAAACAAAGCTGCTATTTAATATATCACTATCTTTTTCACTGTTTCAAGAAAATCTATAGTCACAACTTGTAACGTTAATTGGTTTCACACATACAATTATTCTGATAATTTAAATACTGAAATGAAGGTCCCTGCCTTCCCAGATAATCAGTCAGGATGCTTCCCTGTAAGTCAACAGGGCTTTTGTCCATTATAGCGTACTCTAAAGAACACAATTTTTGTCTTCCTATTTTTCAACTGGGAAAATAAGGTTTAAAAAATTTTCTCAAGATGCCCGCATATAGCCAGGATTGCTTAATAAAGTGCTCAGAGTTTACAGACAGCCAAGCACTGACCCTACTCAAAAAGTTCGCATCGCTTTTGGTTTTACCACTAGTAAGAGGTGGTTTTACCACCTCTTATTGACACTGAATAATCTTGCTGCTTAGCTTTTCCCCCTTTATTTTGCCCCCACTCAGTTTATAGCTTTTCTTTTCAGGGGTAGTATTTCCCTTGCATAGATGTCAGCACAATCTAGGTTACTTCAGATACTATTTCTGTAACAAGAAGGCATGTTTGGAGTAACCAGACTTGGCTGCCTGTTAAACTCCGCACAACTGAACACACAGACAGTCTGCAGAGTCGGAAATGAACGTGTGCACCCTAAAACAAACTCCCACCAGAGCACTAACGAGCTCTATGAGCTGCATGTGGAAACAGGTCAGTCTGTCATAGGCATCCTACAGGATTGTGTCCCAGTTTGACACCAAAAATACTTGGGAAATAATTTCCTTGCAGAGACCCTTACATGCTCTGAACAGTATTAAAGACTAGAACTATGTAATCACACCCAGGATAAGCAAAATATTACTACGCAATTGTATATGTTCTTTTTGTTTCAACTCTAAGCCCTTCTTTTCTATTGAAATTAAAAAAAATTAAAGCAGTTATCTCAATCAAAAGGGAAATGCCAAATTACTGAAAGCATGCTGAAGCTAATCCAACATACATTTTGAGTTTGGTGCTTGATCAATTTAGTGCTGCTGAAGGAAAAAACATTCTTTTAAATTAAAGTTTGTTAACGTCAGCATTCTGAGTGATAGAACAAAAAGAGATCTACAGTAAATTCTGTAAGCCTATTGTTTTAAAGGCTAAAGTCACATTAGGTAATTCAGTTAATCTGTTAAACTACTTTTTAAGTCACAGTTAAATACCTGCAATAGTTCTTTGTATTTTTCTGGATCTTCTTCCATAAGAGTTCGGATCTGGTTATTGTAGTGATCCGATATACTCTCTTCCACTGCTACTGTGCAAGCCATTGCACCTTTCTTTCCAAGTAAAGCAGTTCCAGCCCCTGTGGTTGTGGTACAAAACATATACAATGAAATCTGAAGCACCAGATAATTTACACATTTGAAAATATCACAAAACAACAATAATAGTGATAATGCAAACTCACCTAGAACAAAACCTGCCACATTCCAAAAAGGCAGTAAAACAGTAGGTCGAACTCTGTAAGCAACCATTAATTCACTGAATTTTTTCAAGTGGTCTTTTTCTTGATTCCACATTTGCTGCAAATGAACCAGACCACAGTAATAAACACGAAGAAAAACAAACCAGCTCAGGCCACTCACACCTTGCAGGGAGAACACTATTAACATCACAAAAAAGGAAATGGTGAGGAAGGGCAGATGAGGCAACATAAAAACATCTGCAAAATAAAGTTTTTGCGCAACACTACAGCAACTGTAGTATTGATAACTCCCTTATCAAGTAATACCACTACTCTTTATAAATCCACGTTTAAAAGTGCTTACAAAAACACATACAACTATCATCTTACACTTCACTTGATCATTATTAATCAAACGCAAATTAAACAGAAACACAGTGAACGCTTTTAGGCCAATAACCTGGATAACCGGTCCCACGCTTGATCTACCCAAGACGGCCATTTGCCCCGCGTAAATGCGGTTCGCCCCGTACTCCCCGGCATGGTCCACCCGGATGATGCGGTCTATGACGGGATGCTTGATGTCCTCCGGAGCCACCCGCGTGCTGCAAAGCCTGAGGGAACCCCCTCGGGCGGGCACAGGCCACGTCCCCCGGGGACCTGCCGGAGAGATAAAGGTGACGCGAGCTCTGCTGCCAACCAGCTTCTGTGCGGGGCGAGCGGGCACTACCTCCCGCGAGGCCGAGCGGCCTGAGGCGGGCCCGGGCGGTGCAGGGTGACCCCAG